TGCCAGTGCCGCGCCGCGCGTCTGCCCTGCGTTTACAAGCCGCGGGGGTGTCGCCAGCGAGTCAGCGCTTGGCACTTCCTGCCACCCGCTGGGCCAAGCCACTGGCCCCTACTGCCGGGAAGGAGCTGGGCTCGAAATCCTGGCCACGCTGAGCCGGGCAAGTCACAGAGCTGAGTCCCAGCGTGCCCTCATCTGAGAAAAGGGAACAATTCCTAGGGAACCATGCTGCACAGAAGATGAACGAGCCCAGCTGACTTTTCGTACCAATATAAATGTTAACGTGCATAAAACAGACGCAGGACAGCGAGTTGCTCCCAACTGCTTTCTAAAGGGGGAGATGCACACACAGCAAGGTACATAAAAAGCGTCGGCAAGGATACACAAGAAACACAGTGGGTGAGCTGTAGACAAGGGAACAGGGGAACTTTTGCTATATACCCTTTAGGATACTTTGGAATTTAAAACCTAATTAAGTACGTGTTTTGTAGGGTGATCACAGAGATTAAGTGATACAAAGGACTATAAAGCGCCTAGTACATTGTAAGCCTCAATAAATGGTGTTAACATCCCTCCCCCCAAAAAAAAGAGTAAACAGCACTGAAACGGTTTGGGGTTTTATTTTTAAACTCACCCCGACCACAACCTTGCTTTGAGCAAGGGATTGGAAGGAGCTTCGATATGTGGAGTCGGGAAAGTATACGGAAAGAGACGTGGAGAAAACAACTTTCTGAGTCGGCGAAGCTGTTTTTGAGTCTGTCGGGTCATGCGCAGGAGTTTGTTTATCCGCGGGAGGGAACTGGGAGGACCAGTACAACGAGGGTTTAGTAATAGGACGTCCCCCGCCCTGCCAGGGCAGAAGCAGATCCTACCGGGGATTCTGGGCATCTGGAAACCCCCTTCCTGCCTCTTCGGCCCGCTTCACACCGGCAATACCGTTCCAGCACCAGACTCCCTAGCCGCCCTGCCTACAAAGAGCGAAGAAAATGGGCTGGGGTAGACAAACGCGTAAACACAGTCCTTAGGTCAGGCAGAGCCACACGCCACCTGGCCCCGGACCTAGGATCACGACTCCAGGAGTCAAAACACACCTGCCTAAGAGCGAGGAACTCGGCAGCCACTTGTGCGCAGGCGCGGGCTGCCCTATCCCCGCGGTTAGGGCGCGTCACGTGACGGGCCCAGCGCTCCGCGGTCACGTGACTCCCGTCCGCGGCCTCGGCGGCGCTCACCGCGACTTGCGCCGTCTTCCGCCTGACGCGCCCCCGGCGGCAGCCGCGCAGCCCTGGCTCCTCGCGGGCTCGGGCGCCGGCTGCGGCGGGGCTATGGCGAGCGGCGGTGGCGGGGGTAGCACCGGCGCGGGTGGGGGTGCCGGGCCGGGCCTGAGCCTCGGCCTGGGCCTGGGTCCGAGCCTAGGCATGAGTGAGGCCACCGGCGAGGCGGAGGAGGAGACGGCCACGGCCGAGGCGGTAGGACGCCTGGCCACGACGCTGTGGCTGCGCCTCCGCGGCTGGGAGGCGGTGCTGGCGGCCGCACAGCGGCTGCTGGTGTGGGAGAAGCCGCTGCACAGCCTGGTCACGGCGGCCGCGCTCAACGGCCTCTTCTGGTAACGGCCACGGAGAAGAGGGGCGGGGCCGGGCTGCGCGGGGAGAGCCGGGGCAGGAGGCGCCGGGGTACCCTTCCTCTTTTCTGGGGTTGACACTTGCCCTGGGGAATGACCCCTCCCTAGTTTTTAAAGACTGTTGTCCGCCTGGGTTGCTCCATTCCTCTATCTTCGGGTCTCGAGTTGGGCCTGGAGGTTCCCATTCCCCCATCAGTGGGCGCTTTTCCGCCTTTGGCGATGGCTGCGGGAGCCTCTCACGCAACGCAACGCTGAGGTACCTGTCTCTCCCTAAGGTTGTTGTCTTCGTCGTCCCTCCGGCCCTTTTTCTTACTCAGCATCTCACTTTTGGCCTATTTTCTGCTGGATCTTTGGCAGCCTCGCCTCTTCCCTGACTTCTCAGGTGAGTGTTACTCCTTCGTTCAGCAAGCCCCCTTGCGCGCTCGCCTTGTGGCTGACCCCGCCGGCTGGGTGGGGTGGAATGGTGAGGGCAGTGCACAGCAGGCCACCTGCCTCGCAGCCACCACCACTCCCCCAGTTAGAAAATTGAGAATTGCCCCTTTCTCCAGATGAGTGTTCCTCTGAGTGTGGTAGTTAAGATTGTGGACTCCGCAGCCAGATTGCCTGTGTTCCATTGCCTGCTCAGCCACGGACCACGCGTGTGACCTTGTAAAAGCCAGTCACTCTGCTTGCCTCAGCCTTCTCATCTGTAAAACAGGGATGATAGAACTTACTTCATTAGGAAGTGGAGAGTAAATGAATTAACACAGGTTATGCTTCTGTAGAGCTTCATATGTGATAGGAATTATGTAAATGTTAGCTTTTATTGTTGCATTTCTTGTTATTCACGTATTAATAGGCTTTGGGGAGCAGCTAGGTGCCAGGCTGTGTGTGAGTTGCTTGGGATATAAACCTGGTAAGATGTGGTTCCTGTGTTTGAAAAGGGTAAAATCTAAAGGAGACAGACATTCACATGACAAACACTATGCGATTGGCATGTGAAGAAAGTGCTCTGGGACCGCAGAGGAGGGGCAACTACGCCTGCCTTGGGAAGTGTCTCCCAGAGCCACTCGGTAACTTGTCCCCCTCCTCTCTCTAGCATCATCCCCAGAGGAGCCACACTCTGACAGGTGAGTGCAGGTCACCTCTTGCTGTATTGCCAGTGTCACCATGATGCAGGGCAACATTGCAGCTTCTGTAGGCACAGACCCCAGCATAGTGAATGGACAGGTAATGAGATTGGTCTTAGGTTCCTGTGTAGGTGTTTGCGTGCCTGCCCTTTTTGGGGTAGAGGGTTGGGAGCTCTGGGCTTTGCTTCCCAGAATCAGGACAGCCTTCCCTTGGGAGGTGGGGTTGTCCATTTGCTTAGACTGAAGATCTCATTGGCATTCTCAGAGGGATTTGAGTGCTTAGGAAGCTGGTGTCTGAGGCTTCTAGGGGTCATGTCATGTCTCCCCAGTGAGGGTGCGGGGTCAGGCGCCCGGCCGCACCTGCTGAGTGTGCCCGAGTTGTGCAGATACCTGGCTGAGAGCTGGCTCACCTTCCAGATTCACCTGCAGGAGCTGCTGCAGTACAAGAGGCAGAATCCAGCTCAGGTAAATTCCCTCGTGTCATACAAAAGTTCTCTGCACTGTGGGGAAATAGAGGTGGGGGATAGGAAGGAGTGACATGAATTCCCTGTTTGGAGACTGAAGGAAGAGGCCTGTTGCCTTCTTGAGGCAACATTCACAGCTAGTAAACTGGTACAGGAGCAGGAGACAGTCTTGCCATAGGGAATAAGCTGCTGATGTTCTGACGTTTCCTGCTAAGGCAGACAGACCAGTTTGAATTAATAGGTATTTGGTGGTATCTATTGCAAACTTTCTGGTCTTGGACATTCTCTTGACTAGACTGGATTGCCGCATTCCTAGAGGGCATACCACTCCTTCCACCAACTGAGCAGTAATTTCTTACCCAGATAAGTGGGGTGCATACCTCACCCCACAGTTCTTAGACCCTGTGCTCTTCTCTGCAGTTCTGTGCTCGAGTCTGCTCCGGCTGTGCTGTGTTGGCTGTGCTGGGACACTATGTCCCAGGGATTATGATTTCCTACATTGTCTGTGAGTAGGGTCTAACCCTGCCCTTCCCAAAGCCCTCTCCTGGTCTTCTTTCCCTGGACGGACCTAAAGGGAGGACTGTGCTCTCCCTCTGCTCAGTTACCCATTTACGGAGCTCTCCAGGGGATGCTGTAGCATTAGTAACAATGGAAGAGTCACCTGGGGAGAAGGGCAGTGGATGTGGAGGGATGAGGTTGGCACAGCTTCAGGAAAGGACCCCATCTTCCTTCAGCCCTTCCTGTTTGAATAAGGGCCCTTAGGAAATAGGCAGAGGGAGCTCTGAGTGGCTACTCTAACCCCCAGTGCTGAGTATCCTGCTGTGGCCCCTGGTGGTTTATCATGAACTGATCCAGAGGATGTATACTCGCCTTGAGCCCCTGCTCATGCAGTTGGACTACAGCATGAAGGCAGAAGCTGACGCCCTGCACCACAAACACGACAAGAAGAGTAAGGGGCTCCTATAACCCGGGGGCGGGGGGACGGCCTTGACTTACTGCTCGTGAAACACCCTGTAATTTAGATACTTTCCAGTCCTTTACCCATATTTGTCCCCCACCACTGTCCCTGCTTGCTCACTTCCCTGCTGCTCTTGCTTCTCCAGAGCGGCAAGGGAAGAACATACCCCCCGGAGGTGATGAGCCACTGGCGGAGACAGAGAGTGAAAGCGAGGCAGAACTGGCTGGCTTCTCCCCGGTGGTGAGGTCCAAGGGAGATGGGGTGGCAATTAGAAGGCTGGGGGAGTCTGCTTTAGAGTAGCCGCTTCTCAAGGGGATGGGAGTCAGTGGGGCGCGTACTCCTAGAAAATCGGTTCTCTTATCCCCCTCACCTGGTGTGTTCATCCTGGTTCTCCTACAGGTGGATGTGAAGAAAACAGCACTGGCTTTGGCCATTACAGACTCAGAGCTGTCAGATGAGGAGGCGTCTATCTTGGAGAGTGGTGGCTTCTCTGTATCCCGGGCCACAACTCCACAACTAACTGATGTCTCGGAGGGTATGGGAAGCCCTTTGCCCCTCCCGATCTTCCTGTTCCCTGTCATGGGATGCTGGCTGTGCTCTGACTATTTCCCCCATGTTTTCTTTGGGGAACTGACCCTCTAATTCTACTCTAAGCTCCTGAAAGACCTTAACACCTGAGGCCTGGCCCACATTCCATATCCTGAGTTCTCATCCTTGAACATATTGGCCTATTGTGGCCATTCAGAACAGCAAGCCCATTCCTAACCCTTTGTTTTCTGCACAGATTTGGACCAGCAGAGCCTGCCAAGTGAGCCAGAGGAGGCCCTGAGCCGGGAGCTGGGGGAGGGAGAGGAGACAGAGTTGGCCCCTCCTGAAGACCTGCTGGGCCCCCCTCAGGCCCTCTCGAGGCAAGACCTGGACTCAGAGGAGGAAGAAGATGTGGCAGCCAAGGAAACCTTGCTTCGGCTCTCGTCCCCCCTTCACTTTGTGAACACGCACTTCAATGGGGCAAGCTCTCCCACAGATGATGTGAAGCTTTCCCCTGGAGGACCAGTGGAGACACTGAGCCCAGAGGCAGTGAGTGGTAGCCCCACCACTCCCTCCAGCACCCTGCCACCCCTCCTTTGCCTTGCTGAAAGTGACCCAGTGCCCTCTCCCTCGGTACTCCCTCCTCTTTCCCAGGACTCACCCCAACCCCTGCCTGCCCCTAAGGAAGAAGAGGCACTCACCACTGAGGACTTCGAGTTACTGGATCAGGGGGAGCTGGAGCAGCTGAATGCAGAGCTGGGGTTGGGACCAGAGACATCCCCAAAGCCTCCTGATGCTCCACCCCTAGGGCCCAACACCCTTTCTCTGGTACAGTCAGACCAAGAGGCTCAGGCCATGGCAGAGCCATGAGCCATGGAAGGAATTGCAGGCACAGTAGGGCTTCCCGGCCAGGGGTGTCAATGTTTCCTCCATTCCCTACTGTGGGGAAGGCAGCACGTGGGGAAGCCGGCCGTCAGATGGTAGCCAGTCCACCCCCTGCCTGCCTGCCTGCTGTCCCAGGTCTGGTATACTACCTGGGATTGGTTTTAAGCTTGTAAATAATTTTACATTTGGGTTAGTGGATGTGAACAGGACTAGGGAAGTCCTTCCCACAGCCTGCACTTGCCTCCCTGCCTCATCTCTATTCTCATTCCACTCTGCCCCAAGCCCTGGTGGGCGATCCCTTTCTTTTTCCTCCTATCCTCAGGGACCTATGCTGCTCTGTCCTCGTGTCCCACTTGGTTGTTTAGTTCAGGCACTTTATAATTTTTTTCTTCTGTCCTGTGCTCCTCTCTGCTTTATTTCCCTGCTGTGTCCTGTCCTTAGCAGCTCATCCCCACTCTGCCAGCGCCTCCTTCCATGGCTAAACTTTAGGGGGGCTCCTGTCGGGGAGGGACAGACTAAACCTGGGGTGGTGGGTTAGGCCAGTAGTTGAGCACTTAGGTCACTGTAGCCCGTGGAGCCTCCACTGCACCTTTGGCCTAGTTCGTCCCAGCCTTTCACAATAGGGGCAGAGCTGGGATCCCACAGCACATGCACCAGCACTGCATTAGTGAGCAGGAGCTCTGTCTTGTTAGCATGTGGTTCTCTCTTACTATCCCAGGGAAGAATGAGACGTGCTTCTCTGGCCATGGCTCGTTCAAGTGTGGTGGGATCCCCTGCTAGGGTCAGGAAGTGGACAGTAACATCTGTGCAGGTGTCGACTGGAAAAATAAAGTGTTGATTGGCTAGAACTGCCTGCCTGCCTCACTGAGCTCTGCCACACTCTGTGCTCTGTCCCCTCCTCACCCCTTCCTTGTCCTCAATCTTGCTCCTGGCTATTTATTTACCTGGTGCAAAACAAGGCCAGAAGCAAGTTAGGGACCCTGACAGCCCTAACTTGTCCTTAGCCATCTTCCCTGACAGTGTGATATGTTCAGTGAGATTTGGCATGTGTGAATAAAGTGTATGCAGGAGGAAATTGCCTCGTCTTCCCAATCAATAGAAATTTGGGATTATAATAATCGTTTTCTACTATGTTGCCTACAATCGTAACATGGCCTTAGAAAGTCCTTAACCCATCTACATGCTAACAATTAACTTGCTCAGCCCTGATTTATCTTTACTGGGGGAACCAACAAATAGGACCTACACCTGTATCAAAACTGACTTCAGGCCAAGGAACACGAAAGAAATGGTACCTAAGACTAATTGAATACATAATGTGTGCTTGGCACTCTTCTAAGTGATTTATACTTGCTAACTCATTTTTTCCTCATAACTCAGATATATACTGTTATTAACTCCGTTGTACAGACAGGTTAGTGTTTCTGAAGGCCACAGTGCTAGTAAATAGTTTGGCAGTTTGGCTCCAGCAATCACACTGTAACCAGCAAGCCTGTCCACTAATGGCACAAATAGGAAGATGCTCAAGGACATGGAACCAGAGAACCAATCTAATATCTCGGCTTCACAAAGAATGGATGCAGTAATCCTTGCTCTTTAGGGAAGAAAAACATTAGAGAAAGCTCAGAACTAACCAGCCAGCCTCCTTTATGAGTTCACATCTTCGCCCTTCAGCTGGAGGTACCATGTGGCAATTCTATCTTACTTTTTGAGGTAGACTTCTATGCCACATCTCTCCTAAGGAGTTAGAAATTGTTTCTGTCCATTTGTTTCACATTTGCCTGAGAGACAATCTTTTAGGGTTGATTGAGGCCCTGTCCACTGCCACTGAAAGAACATGAACTTTTAATCATTTAGAGATTTCAGAAGAAAATGGAAAAACAGTTCTAATCAAGAAACAGGCAATTAAAAAAATTTAATTTGTCAATCAGGAAGACAATGGCTGCCATATGCCCCATCTTTAATCCATTTTCTTGTCAAATTTGAAGATAGAGCCAGAAGCCTGTAGTTGGATCAAAACATTCACCATAGGTTTGGAGCTCCATGAGGTGACATTCACCCTGGTCATGTGTGTCTACATTTTTTTTTAAAATCAGTGCCCTGGCCATTTCCTGCCCCAGGATGAAGGAGACAAGAAGAAAGCTTTTCATATGAGTGAAAGAGAAATGTGAAAATTACAGTTAGGCTAAACAAAAGTCAACTAGAAACAGGCTGAGGGAAGGAGAGCTGGTTACATGTTTACATTGAGGAGAGGCCTGTGCACTTGAGTTAACTATACATCGGAACAGCTAATAGTGTAATGTGGCTGCTCATAAACTTAATTTTAGGCTGTGTTATTGAAAATATAGTTTCCAAAACATGGAAGATAATACCTGTGGTGTACTGTGCACACTTTAGAGCACTGCCAGAGGGTGGCTTGCTACACGCATGGACAAGTTGACAAGTTGCAGTGTGCCCAGGAGAGGGTCCCCAGAGGTGAAGGCTGAAAGCCATCACATGGGGAACTGTTGAAGGAACTGAATGTTGAAGCCAAGAAGAGAGACCTGAGTTGAGTCACATTAGCTGCCTTCAAACTTTGAAGGGCTGTGTGTAGGATTTCAGAGGGCAGAAATTAAATATTTGAAAAGGGATCGATTAATAGTGCTACACAGTCAACTATAATTGAATATATATATATATATATGGAGAGAGAAAGAGTCACAGAACGAGTATAGTGTGGGAGTGGAGTCAAGGCAATTGTAATAGATATGAATGATATGGGCGGGAAGTGGGGTGGCGGATTGGGGAAGGGGTTGTCACTGAGGGGCAAAAAGTATAACTTGCACTGTGTTGTACAACAAACTAATTTTAAAAATGCTTATTTCACAATAAAAATTCAAAAAGAAATAGTGGCTACAAAAACCAACTTTAATTATTGCAATTGTGTTCGTGTAGTTCAGTGGATGGGACCATGCCTACTTTCGTTTTTTAAGGTATCAATTACCGGTAGTTGTGCACAAAGTCACACACGAATGAGTGTTTGGAAATTTAACAGACAATAGAAGCTACATTTCCTAAAAAATTAAAAAGTAAAAACACAAAAGAACACAATGACTTTTTTTTTTATACCTGTGGCAATTACATGTAGGAACACAAGGACATTTTTGAGATGATGGATATCGTTGGGAAAGGGCCAGGAGGGCAGTTTCCAGGCTCTTGGCCTCACATGGAAAGGTGCTGGCTCGGTTATTAGATGGCCATCAGCTGTAACCAGTTGGCCATTAGCTACTATTGTTTTGCTTATAACTGTTGGCTGTGTTAGCAAGCGGGTGTTATGATGGTGCAGATCCTGCGGATCCTACTTCCTGTGTCTCGCGTGGCCGCCAGCAAGACTGGTGCAGGAAGACGCCTTGTTGGGGTGTTGACGGATGTTTGCTTCTCCTGTCTCGACCAGCCATCATCAAGAATATAATATAGTGATATGAACCCTCTATCTGTGGCTCCATTGTTGTTCCTTTTCAGCCTCACCAAATCCTGCGTTCATCTGCTGAGAGCTGAGCCCCAGCATGACAGATATGTCCAGTACCTTGGTTGGAGTGATGGTATCACAGGTCCAAATTCATCAAGATGTATACATTAAATGTGTGCATTTTTTTGTAAAAGGGAGGGATATAATAAAGTTAACACAGCAAATGTTAATAGTTGATGAATCTCAGTGAAGCATATACCGGGATACCTTGTGCTAGGCTTATAACTTCCGTGTTTGAAATTGTATCAAAATTAAGTTAGTTAAAAATTTTAAATGGCTTGGCAGTGGTGGGTGAAGCTTTTGTGTATTGCTGGATAGCAATGCAGTATATATTATAATATATTGAAGGAGATAATATTAACAGGCCAAAAGTGAAGCTTGGTCTTATGTCAATGTTGTGTTCAAAAGCACCAAGGTCACAGTAAAACTCAAGGAAGGTGAGAAAGAGGGATTTGCATAAGTGCCATCCCATCATCTGTACCTAAAAGTGTAAATAAAAAGCACGATTCATAAAAATAAAATAAAATAAATAGTGCTACACAGAATTTTTCTGACTAAAGGATATTGTAAAACAGGTTTAAATGCTATTTAAAATTAAAAAGAACAAGTACAGAGATTCTAAGAATTGTTAATTCCATCATGGAAGGACAACATATCACCATGTTTTGCTTTTAGTGTCCCAACTAAAGTATCCTTGGGCTTCCTCTAACCTGCTCCCTTAAATGCTGGTGTTGCGTTGGGTCTGTCACTGGCTCACTTTTCTTTACACTCTACCTGGGCAATTTCGCATGTTCACCTATTTAGTTACCACTCAGACATAGGCTGATGACGTCTAAATCTTCACTTTTTTCCCAGAACTTCCAATCAGGCATCTCACCTGACTGCTCCATGGGTACCTTCCGCTCAACATACCAAACACTGCACACGTGCTTTGTCCACTGTGCGCTCCACCCCTCATCTCCCAAACAGGCTTTTACTGTATTCGCCATCTTGCTGGTACCGCCAACTATGAAGGCCAACTACTTCCTTGTCCCACACCCAGCAAAATCACCAGGTGGCTGCTAATTTGATATCCAAAGTATTTCTTGATCCTGTCACCTCCATGGCAGCCCTGATTCACACCCACCTCATCTGTGATGGTTCTTCATGTTTCTGCCCTCCCCCCTCCCCCCCAATTTGATATTCCAACCACAGAAAACATTTGGAATTCTCCATTTTCTTCATCATGCTTTTGCTTGTGTCTCTCTCAGTCGAAACAGTTTTCTCTACTTTCCACCTGACCAACTCTGACTTATTCTTCAAGACTAAGGTTGTCTTATCTTTACTGGTTTTCCACTTATTTTTTTTTGTTCTACTTTCTCAACCTTACACTGCAACCATTCTTCTGAATTTTTTATTTCTGTGATTATATGTTTTATTTCTAAGCACTGTCTTTGTTTTCTGAATATCCCTTTTTATAGTTTCTTGCTCTTTCTTGTGTGTTAGGTGAAAAACCTGCTCTCTGAAGATACTGTATTAATTATTAGCAATATGTTATATTCATTATATTATTATTCATATAGTTATATTATGTTTTTAAATTCCCTGTTACCCCCACCCCTGTAATTTTTTTTTTTTTTGGTCTCTGTCTTTCATGATAGAGACTTACCCTCAAATCCTAATTTGCTCCTTCACATATGAGCAGAGGCTCTGAAAGTACAACTCAGTGCTCTCTAGGCACAGATAGGACTGATTGGTTGGCATCTGCCCTGTAGGGTAATTTGGCAGAAACAAGCATTTTGTTGGGAACTCCCAAATACCAATATTCATGGATCTTTTCTCTTAGGCTGGTCAGTTCCCCTGGAGAAGAATCCTGCATTCTCCAGCCTGGGGAGCATAAACTTGGCTGCCAGGTGAAATAAGCCCGTGGTTTCTCCTTCTCTCCACCCTCAGCTGCATCTGGTGGCCCTAAGCCCAGAGTCCCTCTGGCTCACTCTCTCTAGAGAGTACACCTCCTGCCTTTTGCTGGGTGGGAGAAGGCCAATCACCAGATTAGAGGAAGGAACCTGGGACTCTAACTGCTCCTTATAGATTTTAAATGCATCCTTGTGTTTTCAGCCCCATCCTTCCATCCTACCTTCAGAGGTATTTGATGCTTCCCAACCTGAGCCTATCCAAGGCTCTGCAGTCCAAACTGGCTTGTTCTTTGTTACTTAGCACTTAGGCTTCAGCTTTCTCAGATCCCCAGTCATCTCCCTTCCATTAGCTTTCCAACTTCCAAAGTATTTTTGTCATATTTCTATGAATTCTTTCTCCTTCTGTTCTCTTTTTTCCTTTACTGTTATTTTAGTGGGGTTTGAGAAAGGAGCAAACATACAATGTGTTCAATCTACCATATTTAACAGAAAGTCCCTTTCCACCTTCCTAGCCTCATGTGCACTAAATCTCCTCTGTGCTCTACTTGTGAGGATAATCTATGACATTTGCACTGTTCTTCCCATGTCCTTCCTGTGCCAGGAATACCTTTGGCATCTTGTCTGCTTGGAGAACTCTCACCGTCCTCCCCAGACTCACTCCTGCGCATTACTG